AGGTAAACAATTCACAGAATTAGCGGATAACTTCAACCTTTTAAAAAAAAAGTTGATTTCTTCCCAACTGACTCACCAGAACTTGGGCCATCTAGTGGCCTGTTTCTTCAGGCAAGTACAATGATCAGTTATGAAAAGCCTTTGGTTAAGGCTGCTTCTTTAACCTATGGTGGTCAGTATGATGCTCTTATTTTAAATGAAAGGTTAGAATACGCAATGCAGAACGCTCCTGCTGACTGGGAGTATCATAGAAGAGAAATCCATACTTTTCTCCAGACACAAATCATCATCATGAAGCACTCCTACCAAAAAAGGACATTACAAAAAATACATTTTCCCTTTCTTGAAAAAGGCCTTGTATCACCTTCAATTAAACCTGTAAGTAGTGTGCAGAGCAAAGTAACTGTTTACATCAATAAATGAATCCTTCAGAGTACCATGGCTCTCCTCATTCTCAATTATTTGGGTCTGAAAGACTAACAAAGCTTTGCATCTTCATGCAGACTCAGTTTTTCTGTATGTTTTATTAGAAAAACAGAACTACAGCTTCAATTTGGATTCTTTGGCTTGCAAAGCCTTGGTTGCTAGTTCAACTCTTTCTTTTAATAAGCTAGCTTCTTCGGCGCTTTTTTGGGCTTGTACATTTTTCAGTAAGAAGTGAGTAAGGAAGAGTTTCAAGCTTTCCCGTAGCATTCCCAGTTTGGGGTTGTCAGATATCCTGTAAAGATACAGATCAAAACCAGTATTTATTCTTCTACTGTTTCAGAAGTTCCTTAGTTTTTTTCTTTACCTTCTTCAAATAGAGACGTAGAAAAAAATCCAACCTACGAAAGGAACTTTTCTGAAGAGGCTTTCACATTACCAGCAAGTCTACATTGGGTTGGCGAACAGCCCAAACACACTCAACATACAATTAATCCTCAATGACAGAATGGAATATTGGAGCTTTAGACTTGCTTTATGTAAACAATTACATTACAGCAACAAACAAGGTAACCACCATATTTGAGCTTCCTTGTGTTGCAGCGTAACAGTTGAAACATCATCACCTAATTTTTTTCTAATTTTATGTGACATTGCAAGTTTAATACAACAAAATCACAGAATAATTTAAGTCAGAAAGGATGTCGGCAGGTCATCTGGTCTGACCTCCTGTTTAACGCCGGACTAACATCCAGGAATGGTCAGGTTGCTCAGAGTCTTACCCACTCAAATCCTAAAGCATCTCCAAGGACCATTTCCCAGCCTCTCCAGGCAACTCCGTCCCATATATAAAATCAAGACTTTCCAGACAATGTTGATTTAAAAAGAGTCCCCCAAACCTTTCCCACATTAGTATTTCTTTATTTTTCCTTCTTACACTAAAGATACCTTCTAGCAAAGGCTGCTGGGAGAGTGACTCCCACTGCACAGACAGTAAAGCAATAAGGAAAGCAGGTAATAAGAGAGCTCTGCTCATGAAAATGCTATGACCAAAATGATACACTGAATATCTGAACGCCTTATTTTGCATAACACTTCTCACAGCTGTATCTGTATCAGAGCCTGTGCTAACACACAAATGATACGCTTCCCCCCCACTCACCCAGAAGAGCTTACTTTTTAAGGGATGGATGGCTGATCTTTGGAAAAGGCACTGTGTAATTCCAAACAAAATAAGCAAACTTCTTATCTTCTTAATTACTACCCACCAAGGGTTCCCTGGAGAGCTCTCTGATCACTTACCTCACAAAAATGTCAGTAAGTTCTTCAGCATCTGTTTTGATTAACAGCATGCTTAATACTTGTCGCAAGAAACGGACCTTGGGTTTATCTAGTTCACTGAATTCAATTACCTAGTGAAGGGAAAGGGAGAATTAGACAAGTATTTCAAACAGCTGAATTCGCTTCTAAATGAACAGCTTTTAGCACACCAACTGGCCTCCCATATACACTGAGCCTTAAGTTTGACACAGAAGAATTAGCTGAGAACATTGCCTCCAAAAGCCAATCAATAAGGAAGCAGAGAAGTTTCTAAGAAATAACCTGTCTACTAGTACCAGAACACTGGATTAATTTCTCAATGAGGTAAATACTTCAGAAGTAGCTCGGACAATCCATATAATTGCCTGTTTAGCACATTTCAATTATTTTTCTAATAAAATTCTATGGACTCCCCATTCTGAAATCCAAGTGCTCAGTAGATTTCTTTCTGGTCTAATAAAAAGCAACATCAGCTAAAAAGCATAGCACAGAATCCACTGACAAAGCCCGTTAATGAAGGGGCCTCAGTTCCAACTTTGGACTCTCTAAAGAAAATAACCTTAAAACTGCTCTAGATCTAGAATTGTAGACTTTCTGTATGTCTGGGTCACCACAGGTTCTCTTTCCCCCAAATGACAGCATTACTGTAATCAGTGGGATTAATTTGGTAATTTTAGAACAAGTTTTGTCGTAGCTTATGACCACGAACAGCTAAAGTACCAGTTGGGTAACAGAGAAAATACATTTTCCATAGAACTAGCAAATGCAAGGAAAACCAGAAGTACTCTGAAAAGAAAGCACACCAACCTTGAGAACTGAAAGTGGCAATGATTTTGTCCTTAATAAGTGAGCCAACAGTGAAACCAAGTTGGAGATGGCAGCAGCTGACAGGTTTTCCAAGTCTCTGATTTTGTCCCAAATACTAAATTGAAATGTCATCTAGGTGTCAAAGGAAAAAAAAAATCCTACAAATCAAGTGCCCATTTAAATGAGTAACAACGTAACAAAACCTTTCGACCTTCTATTCTTTATGAGCCCCTGTTAATTAACAGAGATGCTTGGTGAGACTGTTCAATTCTTTTTAAAATGAGTAAAACAGATGAAAGCAAACCTTCTGCAGGTTTTTATTTCCTATTCAGGTCTGACCGTGAGTATACCTGACTGAATGCATAGCCTATACCAGCAGAATTTTTCATCGGGATCAAGATCTTAACAGGCATGCATCCATTCTCAGGTATTTAATAACTCTCTTCCTAACTACAGTAATGACACTGAAACAAAGTAGAAACAGATTTTTCTTCACCTGAAATCGTCTTTCACATTCACAAAACTTGTTAGCCAAAAATGCATAGAAGGGGTTATATGTCTTCTCCTGTAAGCAGCAGTAAAGGATAACATGAACAATTTCTCTCTCCTGCTGATCTTTCAGTCCCAGCCTGAAATTTAGAATGAGAACAAGAATCATTTAGTAAGGAAAAAATTACTGCCACAAAGTAAAAGCTACAGTCAACATCTGAGAGCAATACTTAAAAATACCTTCTGAGTACCACATGAAATTTTACTCGTTAAAAAGTTCTTACAAAGTCTTTCAAATACTGAATGGACTCAAACCCTTAAAGACTGTGGGCTAAATCAGTATCCTGGTATGGCAATATGGAAATGCTACCGGTACTCCCGGTGTTAAAGGAGTGGCTCCAAAAGCAAGACCTCAGCAGACAGAAGGGGAACAATACAAGTATAATTACTCTCTGGGTAAAGAAAGGTAGCCTGCTCCATGTTTGTAGCATTCCATGAAGAAAAAACAGAGGAGAGGGCCCTGTCATCATGGAGCCTTGTGCCTTTGAATGTAGCAGTAGTACTGCAGCAAGCGCCGCTGCACGGTGTACCAATACAAAGGTTAAATAGTGAAACAAGAACTGTAGGACCCTGTTGTGGTTCTCACACTTGTACCTATGGCCATAGGAGAAAAAACAGCCTTTGGATCAGTATAAGCCTACGTAGAGAAACACGTCAAGGGTCCTTCACTTTTGTGGTACTTACTAAAGATAAGGAAATACATTAAGATTTTTTTCCTACTTGGTGACATGAATCTTTTCATCTCTAGGTCAATTCCATGCTACATAGTAGTTGAAATTAATTATTGTTTGACAGTAGCCTAAGAGGATGCAGTCAGTGATTTCAAACCACTTAAAAAAAAAAAAAAAAAAAAAAAAA